GAACAGAGAGCCTTTAGCAGGAAGAAACTGAATTCATCAGAGCTGAAGGAAACTTATGGAGGAAAAAGGAGTGTATGCATTTCACCTGGCCCACGGGGACTTCTACTGAATCCATTAGTGACTGCAGGACTTTTCTGTGTCATGTAGCAATCCTGCCCACCCTCAGGCTCTGATCACTGGTGCCCCTACCTCAGCATCCCCTGCCATTTAGGCACGTGCCATGGGCTCGTACAATGTTCTGTGGCAGCCTCTTTTCTACTCTGCAGCCTTGTGGATCAGAGGGCCTGCCTGAGCAGTGCTGAAGAAGCAAAAAGCTTGAAAAACCCCTACGTAGACACCTTACTCAGAATGGTTTAAAACAGATTGGCGAGCAACAAGAACAGCAGTTTGCAAAGTCAGAGTCGTGGTACCCACCTCTCCCTATCACTTCGCTGAAGTGCACAATCAGGCTGTCAGCACCAATAACCACATGCTGCACTTCTTTGACCAGGTCAGGATTTAAGGCACTGATGTCGATGTGGACGTTAGTTTGGAGAAGTGGACTTGCTAAATCTGAGTCTCCACTAGACAGAATTGGGGAGAGGTCAGAGTGAGGATACTGGGCAGGTCTGCACGATCCATTCTGAGACATGCTTGGAAACTGATCTGCAAGAGGAACAGAAAATGTTACAATTCTTTCAGATTTCTCCTTGGAAAATAAAGAGCTTTATTTCATTGGTGAGCAAAGGTTTGAGTTTATCAGTTTGGAAGTGGCTTGGCTTTGCAGAAGTTTTGGTCACAAAGGAAAATGAAAATATGCATTGCTAATCTGCCAAAGTCCAGGAAAACCATGTCACTAGAAACTTATGCTTGCCTCAGCTCTGCTTTTAAGAAAGCAAATGGCAAAACTTTCACTATTCTGACTTGATGGAATGAAGCCCTGTCACTTCTTGCCAAGTGTAGGTTATAACATTTCTAGTAATTGGGAGTAACAAGAGTAAAATGGAAAAATGACAGCGATGTGGGAGGAGGAGGTAGTGAAAAATTAAAGACATGAAAACTTTTATTATTGTCATGTTCTAATCTGGTAGGTAACTTCACATTTCATGAAGGTTTCCAAACTGTTGGTGACTAGCTATATTTATCTAATGGTAAATATTCAACCAGGGAAATGCCTAGAGGTGATTCATATCCTGTAACTGCTGAAGATAATACAGTTGGTGCTACTCATGAAAATAACATAAACCAACAGATTTAGAATAGCAGAAATTAAAATGTTTCAGTCAAGCAGGGACCATTTATTTGAGAAAATTATTTTTGTCAACAACATGTTCAGGTATTTTAAATTGCTTCTGTTTAACAGATATTTTTTTTTCTAGCATTTTGTGTAACAGAATCAAGGAACTAAGTTTAACTTGCACCAGTTTCAGTCTGGAATGACTCCAGTGGAGTCAATGAGCAGAATTTAGCCCAGGGTCAAAAAGAAACAAAGGGAGTAAATTTAACAACAGAAATTATCAGATATTGTATCACAAAGAGTAAAAGGTGTTGTGCAGGCAGGGTTTATATATTCATGCATAAAACTTGGGAAATTTCCATATAGGGCTGTTATCAGTCTAGGTTCTGAGAAAAACTCAGTGCTACTCTATCAAGAAGAAAAATACACACTCTTATATCAACAAAGCCTCATTTATGTCAGAAAGAGCAAATATCTGTTTAATAATCACAGTGAAATACTCTAGCCATGGGTGCTAAATAATTGTTACAGCTGCTACATGTAAATCTGCATGTTTTCTAATGTCCCTGTGCTCTGGTTTGGTGGTTTTTTTGGTAGTGGGGGAAAGGCCCCAAGAGTGGCTCTGTGAGAAGCTGAGAAGCTCCAAACCCAGTCAAAGAGCCATTAGAGGGACGATAGATGCACCTCAGCAATTAACATAAAGAAGCAACATAACACCTGAGCAGAGAAGCACTTAGGAGAGAAGAGCTGTGCTGGAGGAGGAGAGCAGTGCTCGTGGTTGGTGAGGAAGAAGGGGAAGAAGGTGCCCAAGCAGACGTTTCCCTGCAACCCATGGCGAGATGGCAGCTGCCCCCCTGCACTCATGGAGGAAGGTGGAGGAACATTCCCTGAAGGTTCCAGGAGGGGTGAACAAGTCCAGTGGACTTTGATTATGCAGCTGTGGAAGACCCTGGTGCCTGGGGAGTTTGTTCCTGAAGGAGTCCATGACTCTGTGGGAAGCCCAGGCTGGAGCAGCTCCAGGCCTCATGGGAAGGACTCATGAAGGAAAGGTTTGTACAGGATTCTCTCCCATGGGAGGGACCCCATGGGGAAGCAGGGAAGGACTGTAAGGAATCCTTCTGCTCGAGGAGGATGGTGTGGCAAGAACCACCAGCCTGTGAACTGACTCTAAACCCCATCCCCTGTCCCCCTGTGCCGCTGGGGGGAAGGAGGGAGAGAAACCAGGAACAAAGTGATTTGGGCCTGGGAAGAAGGGAGGGGTGGGGGTAACATATGCAAGCACAGCTCTTTGTGTTGTCTGTGTCCTGTGTGTGTGTGATTAGTGTGAAATTAATTTTTTATTATTATTTTTTTTTCCCCCAAGTTGAGTCAGCTTTGCCCTTAATTGGTGAAGAACCCTCCCTGTCCTTTTTCTCGACCCATGAGCTTTGTCCTCCTCATCCCCGAATGAATGTGTGTGTGTGTGTGTGGGGAGTTGAGTGAGAGGCCATGTGGATGATTCTTTGTTGTTGTCTTGGGCTCAAAACCACGATACCCTGTCATTTTATTCTTTGACAGTAATTGATGTGAACATTCTTACAGGAACATTTACTGAACACACCTTCTTCTTGGGTGCACTCTCTGCTCTGCTTTGACAGTGCACAGGGGTGTCAGGATCTTTGCACAGTTTTTGTCTCACCACTTTCTCTCCCAACCAGTGGCACAGGCGTGCCTTTTCCTTCGGGAATCTTTCAATCAAGAAACTTCCCGTGTGAGCTGGCAGCAGCAATTATAGAATCATAAAGGAAGCTGGGAATGGGCCTGGCTCTCAAACAGCTCCATGACTGAGAACTACAAAGGTGGAATAAGGATTTGGAGTGATTTCTATTAAGCTGTATACAGCAGCTCTTGAATTAGTACAAGACTATGTCTATTAACAAGACTAATAAAAATTGGTGATATCTCAAATACCATAATATCGTAACTCCTAATAGTTGAAGACTCTTTAATGGTAATCACAGAACATGGGCTCCACATGTCTTAAAAGACATATTTAGCCTAAAATGGCTGAATATAATACTCTAAAATGGTGTTTTAAGGCACAAAGATGTATTCAGCATAAGATTATTCTTCCCTTATGCCCACAGTCCTGAAAATGAACAGTGTGTTTTCTGAGACTGGCATCTCAGCACACAAGGTCCTCCACTCAATTTGTCACAGTTTTCACATCCCTTCAGCTTAATTTTTAAAATCAACATTTCTGCATCTTACAATATGCCATTTTAAAGGAGGGGTATGAGCAGCCAAAAGAATATGGGTTTACAAAAGTCCATGTCCCTTGTTGGGCTGACAGAACTGCTTTATAATGACTGTATGAAGTCCCTGAGACTACAACCTACAGCTACTCGATGCTGTCCTTAAAATAACTTTTCTAAGAGTGGATTTGTACATGGTGGACCTCATGATAGCACAAAATCTTTATATCTACTAGCTCCTAATAAACTATGAAGCATACTTACAGAGAGGTTTTACTAATAGTATTGTATATATTCCTCCAACCTGAGCAAAAGTAAAAATCCTTCGCAACTTAACCTTGGGGAGAATGTGAGAAGCTCAGTTCAAATAGTAAGCCTGTGAACATATGAAAGTCCCAAGCAGTACCGAAATAGACAAACCAGATGAGAAACTGAAATGAAGATACTGATCAAAATAGCTGTCATCTGAAGACACATGAAAAGCAAGATGTATAAAGTATTACCTGTACCGATTCATAACAGGGGCATACCTTCTAGAAAAGTTGATCTGTAGTCTACAGATTCACTTGAAACCATTTCTGTGGTTGGGCTTACGCTCCTCGCGCTCACCAGCCTGTCCAGGTGAGGAGTGTGCACTCTGCCATCATAGCGCACTAGGTCGCTTCCCAGGTCTGAAGGGGGAGGAGAAAGAAATATTAAAAATCCCTTACATTTACTGTGTGCCAACAGCAATTTAGGTATTTATTTAAGTTGAGGTGTTCTGCTCTGCTGGGAAGAGGGTCAGGTTGTTGCTGAGGCAGATGTGCAGGACCCAAACTTGACCTATTTGTAGAGCAGAAGATTTGCCATAGCTTGTGTTAAAGCCCCACTCTTGGCCACACTGGAAGATCCAAGAGACTTTCCAATCCTCTGGGGACAGCTTAATGATCTGCCTGTGATACTGCATCAGAACTAGTCTGGTTGATATACTAGCTTCCCTCCTCCTCTCCTCCCAGTGTGGCAGTTCCCACTGGAAGGAAACTCAGCCATGGGGGCCGGAGAAGAGGCAAACTCTGGCTAAGTTCCTCATATACGTGAACAGGAGACCAGGACACCACAGCGCTCTGCGTTTTGTGCAACTTTGGCACATCCTGGATGACTACAAGGTAACTGGATGAAGCTGAAGTACTCATGATTCTATGGATGTAATTTACTTGTCCCCTTTTCCAAGGCTGACTGGGGAAGAGAAGTTGCTAAGTTTTCTTAATAGCTCAGAGTTCCTCTGAAATCCTTCTCTAGGTATAGTGTGGCCCTTCACCCAGCTCAGGCAAGAGCCAAGGGCTGAAAGACAACTAAACATTGGACTGGATTGTGAAACCTCTGTTGACAGGTTACATCAGGGCATTGCATGGCAGTTAAGCAAAGCATAAATTGAGGTAAGCTTTTAAAATCTAAGATATAACAGAATTATTTTATGGAATTTTACTATGATGGACCTTTAATTTGTTTTTTCTTCCTTCTCCAGAGGAAAAACACCAAAAAGATAAAAACTAAAACTGATGTTGAAACAACTCCAGCAATTAGTCCCGTGAAATTCTGATCTTGCCGGATCAGCACTTTTCCAATAACTGTTGACAAAACTTCTTGCTTCCACTGGAAAAAAATAAAGAAAAAAAATTGTGTGATGATTTCAAAAGACAAGTAAGAAGTAGATTACTAGTACTAAAGCATGAGCTGATATGTCCCAAATGTATTCAGTCTTGATTTTGTGATGCTGTACTGTGATAAGACATTGGGAGTGGAGAAACATGCTATATTGGTGTGCACAAAAGCAGATCTACATTTTAATGATTCATTACATGCCTTCAAGAGCTCTGGTAGTGACACAGTTATGTATGCACTGCACCACACACACGGCATGCACTCACGCACGCACTCTGGATAACAAGGTCCCACTGCTAGCAGATGTTAACTCAAAAAGCTAAATTAATACTTTTCCTCAAATGGTGCACAGAAATGTGTGAGCCTATGGATATATGGGCTCAGATGCACATTAAAAAACAAGGCCAAGTGTCTTTAATATGCGTCCTTCTGGCATAAATACACTGTAACATCAAACTCTCTCTCTGCTGACAGCGTGCCTGCATTTTAGTTCCCAAGGTCACGTGAGCCTGTCCTTTGCCAGCTTCTAGCTTGTCAACAGTTTAAAGAAACAAAACAAAACAAAAAACCAACCCCCAAAATCAACAACCAAACAAACACCAAGCAGCTAACAGGGAAAAACTGTTTTAGGTCACACGGCACTAGCTCAGTCAGTTGGAATGCATTTGGCCATCTATTCTCTTCCTTGCGTGGAATTCATTCCTCTGGGTACTGTAATGATGGATTTGCCCGTCAAAAGAGCAAATTTTCTTCTTCGCTGGGCAGGCTGCAATTTCTGAGGCTCCTTGCCAGTAAGCAAGCAGAAACCTTATTTAACCCCTTTATGTTGTGTTCTTTTCTATGTACAAAATACGTCACGCATATCTGTTTCTTACAGGTTCAGGAAACACCATGTTGTAGAACTGACTGAATGTAGTGACAGTCCCAGTTGCACATGTAAAAGTACAAACAGAACGGAACATGTGCACTAGTATTACATGGAGCAAGGAAAACACATACACAGAAAGGAGAGCTGCATCTAAATTTATGGTTTGTCTGATAGATCAAATACATTTATTTTGTACTTTTGAAAATAAATCATTATTAAAACAAATTAATATTGCTGTATTAATAAAGCAGATTAGTTATTACTATTTACTTAGATTGCAGTAGCACATAAGAATGCTGCTCATGGCCCAGGACTCTGTTGAGATGAATGTCATAAAAGCTTAGAAAAAATAGGTGGTTCCTGCTCCAAAGAGCTTACATAGGCTTTGATCCTAATCACACTTACATGACTGACAAAGTCTCCACTGTTTTCAGTGAATCAGCAGTGAATGAGAATGATCAGCAAATTTCATAGTTTAAAGTTAATCCCATTCTGCTGTGATTTTCCTTTTTTTTATATTAAAAAAAAATACAAAGATATTGAAGGATTTGTGTCTTATTCTACAAATCAGTAGGTCAAGTGTCTACAGTTTACATTTGCCGTAGCACTCTGAATGACTCTAGTGAGATCACTTTTAGAAAGATAGTGGAATTCAAACATTTGTCCATTTGTACGAGTGCATCTTACAAAAATAATTGAAATAAAATTATAAAAAGCAGACAAAAATTATTTCAGAAAGGATCTGATTCTCTTGACAGCAGCAGAATTTTTTTTGCTGAAAAAAGGGCTTGTGAGCTCCAAAGTAAACCTACTCCATTTTAGCTTCCTGTTTGGCCTCTTGTGTTTGGATTAATAACTATAATTTTATTTCTGTGCTTAGTTTAGGTCCTACTTTGTGCCTAAAGCTCCAGAAAGTCTCTACACAAACAGGTAATAACAACAATGATGATAATATTCCTTTTTAAATTTTCAATGTTATTTGAATTTCCATCCCAAATGAACAGGGATAGAGATACCTCTGTAAACACAGGCTTAGGCTTAAATTTAAAGTTTATAGGTTCAATAGTGACATTGGGAATGATAATAAAAATGGCATTAGTATCTCATATGTGGAGTAGCTGCCTCACCTCTATATTTAGCTCGCCGTTGGATTTCAGGAGATCGCTGGGAACTGTGCACAGAACTGATTCCGACTGCAGGAAGAGTTTTTCACAGCTTTTATTTCCAACTTTTAGCACCTCTCCTTTAACAGCTTCTGAATCAATATAATTTCCCTTGGAAAAAAAATCAATTACCTATTACATAGCCATCTCATAGAAGTTAGGGAGAAGTCCTTTTATTACTTTGGAAAATGTTTTAATGGAAAAACAATAGTGAAATAAAAGACTAATGCAAATTTACATTGCTTTGTCAATATGCATATATCAGTTTTTTTCATGTAAATGGGAGTTTGACAGACAGACCAGAGAGGGAGAATGGTTATGCATAAAATCTGCTGCCACTAATACTCATACGGTCCATACAGACTTTTAAAACTGTAAATGTCCAAGGGATAAATCCTGTTGGTCCTGTTTAGAATTTTGCATAATCTGTGCAAGAAAGGAAGCATTATGTGATCCTGTTGTTTATAAAAAACTGGCATTATATTATCCACAAGCTAAAGGCATCTCAAACATTTTGTTTCGCAAGTGGTTATGGTAGAAGGAGTGAAACTTTCAAAAAGAACTAATTAATTATAATAATAAAAATGCAAAAAACTGTTAACATCATGTTTCACAGACCAAAAAGGAACAAACCCTGGTGATGATGACAGCATGGGAAGTGTACTCCTTACTCAGAAAACCTGCTTTCACTATCTCAGACTTGGATTAAATATTTTTCCTTCTGGTATAGTGTCCAAAGGACAAATTCAGGATCTTTTGTGTTCTGGAGTGCATCAGTATTTATGAAGCTTCTGTACTGCATTTACAGCCAAAATTAAGATGAAAGAACAGACATATTAAGTGGGAGTAAAAGGGGAAAAGGGAGGATGGGGAGTAACACTAATATAGGCTATTTATGTGGGCTGGATCTAGGAGTTTGGAAGGAAGTAAGATATCAAGGCTGATACTGCAATGAGGCCTCATTTACTGAAAAGAAAACAAGAATCCCATCCTCAAAAGTAAGGCAAAAAAACCTTACTTTGGAATATATCCTGGGTCTCCTGCAGAATTAGACTGAGCCCTGGGAATATGTTAACAAAAACATAGGAGAGCCAGTTAAACATCCTATTTTGAATAGCAAAACCACACCCCAGGTGAGTGCTTCTTAATTGCTGGCCAAAAAAGTCCATTTACCACTATCTTCTGTCTACCTGGAGTCATTCTGTTTGTTGCTAATTAAGTAAATATTCAATGGGCCAGGGAGAATGTGATTCATGGCTTATTGCTTATAATGATGGAGACTTGCTACAGGCTGTGAGCAAATTCGTGTTCAAATATTTCTTTTGAATGATATAAATTGAAAGACTTGAATTTGAGTCCTCCATCTTCAGGGTAAACGTACTATCCTGGAGAATGTGGCTGAGCAGCTTCTTTTCTTCTACACCAAGTCTTAGAAATTTTCTCCATCAAAATTGATGCTTACCCAAGGGGAAAAAAATCATACTGACATTTCCTAAGGTGGTCCATAGCTAGGTATAAGGAATACAGTATGTTTTACTTACTACCATTACATTGCCATTAATATATTATAGTTTCAAATATATTCTATATACTATCTCAAAATATAAAGAGTTTCAGAACTCCTTCAGCAGTAGTTTTGCTATTCTAAGGACCACACCATTTGCCTATGGTTGTAAGAAAATGAGGAAACTGACTGCTCTGAGAACTGGAAAACAGTGTTTTCTAATAAAAATGTATATTATCCCCTTCTTCCTGAGCAATGCCCTTGCACATAAGCTGGAGAAGCTTGTTACTGGACTAAGTAGCTGTTGCAAATCAATATGATAGATCAACCACCTCACAACTTCAGAGAGATTGTAATAATTTGGGTGAAAGTCTAGAAGCAGTAGAAGGACCACAGACCAAAGTGTAGAAATTTTGAGATTGGTGTAGGAAGAATTTTAAAGGTTCCTAAGCAGAGTGGCTTGACTTGGCAAGAAGGAATTACCGCAGCTGCAGAGCGTCCACTTCAGCTTGCTCAGAAATACCAGGGTTTCTATATTGCACTCTCTTGGTCCAGACATGGAGAGAAACATCTTTTTCTATGTGATGTGGAAGAAGATTGAAAATAGAGTGACCTATAAATAGGCAAGAGTTCCATAAGATTGTCTCATAAAGAATGTCTTGTACTGGCTCAGGAATAGAGTAGGAAATTTAGTAAGTCTTGTTCTACTCTTAGTTTTAGAACAGATGTGCCAAAAGAAAACCAAGATCTCAAATGTGATGTGTAACATGAAATTACAATTGTGCTACTTGTTTTGCTAGTGTAAGATTTATATTTCTAAATAGCCTTTGGTCACCTACTGGCCTATTCCTAGGCCTCCTCTGGAAGCCTGCACACAGACTGTGCACCAGCTTGGCACGTGAGCACAACCCCTGACCAGGCCAGGCCTCTGGGCAGACTGAGGTAAGAAGCTGTTTCTTTCCTTATTTATTTGTTGTTGTTTTTTGGTTTTGTTTCTTTGTTTTTTCACAGCTAGGACACACTGGGCTGTCAGCAGGCCAGCTTGCAGGTCTGGGCCTGTGGCTCCTGCGGATGGCAGCAAGTAGACTCTGTCCTCTTGAGCAGACTCAGGTGCTTGGTTGTACCCAACAGCAGAACACCACATTTCTCCTGCCCTGAGAGCTTCCCATGTCAGTGGGAGATGGGAGCACTTCTGAAGTGGTATCTTCATGGTGTTGAAGAAGAGAAGTGCCTTCATGCCACTTTGCCATGACCCCTCTGGCTGGGGCATGGTGGGCACTGAGAGACTTCAAAGAGCCAAATACTTGGCAGAGGAAGACAGTGATGATGTGGGACCCTGAGAGGCTCAGTAGTGTGAAAGACAAAAGGGCTGGCACTAAAGACAAGAAGGGCTGACATTCATGGCATACAGTGCCCTGACTGCATTTTAGACAGGAGACTTAATGTTTTCTTGTGTGTAACATTTTCTTACAAAAACATCTTACAGTCATCAGGGGAAACCAAACAGAACCTTTCAATTGGTACCCACTGCCATCTGAGGAAAGCCAAATAATGTCACACTAGATTAGTCTGATTGAAAAACTTGTGATAAAACTCCCTCCATCCCTCTGAAACTAATTAAGAAAAAGATAAAAGAACTTTGGTTTGGTAGAATAGACTGTTCACTGAAGCAAGCTGCCATTTAATTTCATGCTGAGTTTGCTTAATTACTGCACAAAATATGACCATGAGGCATGTAAACTTGTGTGTGGGTATTTTTGAATGTGGGTATGGGGCAAGGGAAAAGTGTTGCCAAAATGGCTTTTGGATCTTTTGGCTCATGACTATAATTTCTGAACATTGCCTCAGTGTTTTGGTAGAAGCATCCCACTATAACTAATTCTATTTAGAGTAAGATGTTATATTGAGGCTGGTTCATGCTTTGTTCTAGGACACCAGCTTTCACTAATGTTATTCACCAGTTAGTTGCCAGGAAATAATCAGAGCATTAGCCTTAAGTAGACATCTGCCTTGGGTGCCATGACTACAGGTGACATCAATGATACAAAACTGTGACTTTGGTCAGTTATCAGTAGGGTCGTCCTCAGCCAGCCCTTCTCATTTGAATGGCTTCTTCCCAGCAATAAATAGCACTACAATTCTTCTTAGGGGACAATAAAAAGTTCAAGAGTAAAAGAAACAAGAGAGTTAAAAACCGCAAAATCTTTAACCTCAGCCCCTGGGAAGATCACGGAGGAAGTCCTCATGGAAGCTTTTCCAGAGGAAGGACAAGAATGCAATTGGGAAGAGCCAGCATAAGTTCCTAAGGTAGGATTTTGCCTGAGCAGCCTGATTGCTTTCTGTAGAGTAAGGGTGAGTACTGGACAGTATTTACCTTGATTTTAGCAAGATTCGTAACACAGTATCTCCTGGCATTGAAAACAACTTGGGATTATATGGACTGGATGGATGGAAGGATGGGTAAAGTGGGTGACAAACTGGCTGGCCATCAGCAATACTCAGCACTTGTGAGACCACACCTGGTGAACTGTCGAATTTTGAACCCCACTGACCAAGAGAGATACTGACAAACTGGATGAAGTACAGAAGAGGGACACTGAGCTAGGAAGGGAGCTGAAGCACAGGATGCACAATGCAGGGCTAGTAGAGTTTTTAAAGCTGTAAAATCTTCATTCTTGGAGATTTTCAAAACTCGTCTGGACAAGGCATAGGCAAACTGACCTAATTTTTACCATAGCCCTGTTTTGAGCAAAGGGTTTAGACTATGAAGACCTCCAGAGGTTCCTTCGAATCTAAGTTATTCTATGATTCTTCTCAGATTAGTCTTCTTTCCAATCGTTTGATATGCATGACCTGGAAAATACTGGAAAACACTGCTGTCACTGCACAGAGGCACTGAGCCATGCAGAAGCTATATATTCCCAGCTCTCCGTTGACCCGCATACCAGAATTCTTTCTAGCATTTCTCCATAACTGAACAAGAGAATTGCTCTGCATTGTGCAAGGGGTGACTGTACGGTGAATAGTTCCAAGCAGCAAAACAAAATAAAAAAATAAAAATCAGAGTGTTTATTCTTTGGAATTTGCCTAAAACACTTTATGGAGACATAGCAATATTCAGAGAGTTTAAATGGAATCCATCATGGCTGACAGAGGCTCTGGAGCTCAGAAGCTGGCCCACTGGACCATCTCTGAGTCAGAGACCTCAGGGCTTCAAGATTTCATGAGAGTCATATGGGAAAAGAGTTTTGACTTACAGAGCTATGGAGGAGCTATGCAAAGAGATGACCCCAGCATTAAGGCAGATTCTCTTCTGTAAAGCATTTTTAATAGACTATAGATTATATAAATTACATATATTATATACAATTTACATGTAAATAATAATAAATTTTCATAAACATTACTTGTAAATTAGAAATGCCTGTATTTATACTGTTTCAATTTGATACTTTAAATCAGAAAAGCACTAGATTTCAAGAAATCAGACTCTCGCAAAAAACTTTCTCCACAGCACACTAGTACAGAGCAGGCAGCTTGTGAGGGCCCCAAATTCCTAAGAGATGTTTCTCAGTGTGATGTAGGCCATTCTTGTACTCTTTTAACAACCACTCAGCATCAACTTTGCATTTTTCATGGATCTGTAAATATTTAGGCTGCAGTGGTGACTGATCCTCATGAGTGAATTTGTGCACAGGACAGAGCTTCCCTCAGCTCTAGAGCCAAAGCCACTAGGTCGCTTTCTAAAGGCAACTCCAAATCTTTCATGAGGAAGGACACAAAACCATGTGACAGTGAGAATCAGGACATGTGTGCAGACCACAGACTTTAGGTTCTGGGTGGCTGGCCATCTTTAATCCTAAACTGGTGATGTAGGTCATTGCAACTGGAAGCTGATATACTGTGGCCCTCCCAAGAAGATAAGGAAAGCACCTCTCCCACCCAATCTGATGCAAACAATCACTCTGGTATGTCTTTGTTGTCAGCTCTGCATCTTTTAAGTTGTGACAGATGGGGGCTCAGATAAACACAGTAATGAACACACATCTCTCTCTGCCCTTGCTTCCTTGGAGCTTCCCTTATTTCATCAAAGTCTGTGTTCCACACTACACTGCTGAAGTGCACTTGCAAATAATTGAAAAACTTATTTCAATATTTCTTACCTTAATTTCCAGAATATTTTGGTTGCCTCTTGAGATGAACACTGGCTTTTCAAAATGCTTAAAAACAGGATTATTTACATAATCAAAATCGAAGTACACAGAGCTGACACCATCAAAAAGAAAGAAAACTTTGGTTACAAAGGGTGGTTGGAGATTGAAGGCTTTCAGTGAAGGCGTTGTACAGCAGATGATCTCCGAGCTAGAGCGGTGGCTACACGCCTATAAAAAAGAAAGAGGTAATTGCAGTAAGTACGTGCATAGGAAGTCACTGATGAACACAACTGTTCTTTAACAATACATATATAGTGAAAAAAATAAGCACCAGGGGTCTTGTTCTTCTTTAACCAAACCAAAATCTTGATCAGTGCTACACAGCGTTTATTTAGAGCTGAGAGAAGAGCATAAAAACTCCATGTCAATGGTGTTTGCACTCTTGTTGAGGAAATGTTCAAGTAAACAAGCTTCCTGGCCTGATTGTTCCCAGCACTTTTAAAGTAAATATTTTGCAGATAATTAATGGAAAATAATGTCCAAAGCCAAGGACCATCAGGAGGCTATCCTGATGTACTGAAGCTGTACTGGGACACAAAGTAGCCATAATTCAGTTTATCCAGCCTATGCCAGAGTGACTGCCACATGGATTTCTCTTCCTTTTACATTACCAAAGCAATAGCAAGGGACCAGAGAAGGTAAAAATAAGGCAAATGAATCTGACTGAAACAGTTGAAAACAAAAGTAAAGTACTGCTTACCCACAGCATAGTTGAGCTACTATGTTTCCAGAAAGACACTATGGATGTTGAGAGAAAGTGCTTTAAAGTCAAAGTGACCAAGGGATTCTGGGCCACAAAATCTCAGCAGTGTATCTTCTTTCCAAAAATGTACATATTAGGCCCTAGATGGGCAGCATTTGGTGCTTAGGTACCCAGGTGTCATGCAAGTCCCTCCTGGGAGTGTTGACTGGGGTGTGCTTCATGCTGTATCTCCTTGGATACCAGTGGAGAGGAGATGTTTGCGCCTCACTACAGGAGCCACCTGACAACCAGTGTGAAGCCATGCTTGTCCCTCACTCTGCCATTATTCCTCTTGAGGGCCTGCCTGCTCTAGAGGTCCTTCCCAGGGGAAAGCTGCTGGTGAACCCTACATTGCCAGAGCATGCTTTGTGCTGTGGGGGTGCTTTCCTCTATCCCATATGGCTTTGGCACAGGACTCACAAGACAGACAAGATGGACCGAACTCCTTCCTAAAACAGTGAGAATTTCCTGGTAGCGTGATCTGAAGCTGGTTTTAGGCAGTTTACAGGGATAATATGAATCCTTACAGATGGTATTCATCCAGGCTGCATCAAGACACCTGTGTTGGAGTTAGTTGTCTAAACTGCCTTTATAGTCAACAGAGGGAAACAGGCTCACCTAGACTAGGATGCATCTGATACATTTTAGTCAACAGCTTTAATTAGATTAATGGTGCTTCAGAAGGGTTGACTTATCTCTCTTGACTGTGAAGGTTTCTACATGACTAATTTGATTATCATGTCAACAGCACATCTACAAGCATCGACACGGGAGGCACGGTGGGTGCTGGGCAGCCTCACACAAACTGCAGAGTGGCTTGTTTGTGATTGTATCATGTAGTCCCTTTGCTGTGCCTCCCTTTCATGCTGCCTACTGTGGACATGGTCGAAGGACTTCTGGCACAGAGCTGCTTCAGCTCTACAAAAGTATTTATCTTGTAATTGTATAAGCCTTCTACAAGTAGTTGCCTGTACACTGTGCCTTAAGAGCAGAGATGACATTTTTTTTTTTTTTTTAATAATAACTAGAGTGGCTGACATGTGGCTTGGTAAGAATGAGGCTTAGCTCCTAGTCATCACAAATCTTAAATTTGTTCTACTAGAAATTTCCCTGGAAAACCAACAGTGCTGTTGAATACCTTTGAACATCTAGAGGAAGCAAAAAAAATTACATATTTTCCTCTTTTGTTCTTCAAATTAAATTGGTTGTTATTAGCCTCAAGCTGCACCAGGGGAGGTTTAGACTAAGCATTAGGAATAATTTTTTCACTGCAAGGGTTGTCAGACATTGGAACACGCTGCCCAGGGAGGTGGTTGTGTCACCATCCCTGGATGTATTTAAAAGTTGTCTAGATGTAGTGCTTGGGAATATGGCTTAGTGCTGGACTTGGAAGAGCAGGGTTAATGGTTGGACTTGATCTTAAAGGTCTTTTCCAACCTAAGTGATTCTGTGATTCTACAAAATGCTGCCTGAAGGAGCTGGAAAATTAGTTTACATTTGTTTCTAATATGCTAAATTAATGCCATGTAATCTTGCTGTGTTTCAAATCAGTGACATAACTATTCAAACTGTATCAGTTATATACTCACATTAACTTGAAAAGTGAGATTAAATTAGCTATCTACAAATCAGCACTTTTTCTTATATGTTTCTGTGCATAATATAGTGAAATCCTGAATCTGCCAAGGGAAACATTTTCAAGTCTCTGAAATAGAGCACTAGAACTCTACTACAAGAGTTACATGTCTGTGAGCTGTGAGTTGGTCAGTTAAATAACGTGGTGCAGCTCTCAGTGATGCTAATGAAACTTGTACCTGTGTAACTAAAAGCCTGTTTAGGTGCCCAGCACAAATTCAGAAATAGTTGTGCATCACCCATGACAACAGGGTAACCTGTGGGACACAAGACAAGGCAGAATTTCACTCCATTTGCTTAAAATATTAGACTGTTCTTATTTTGAGTACCTGTTATACACCATTTACCATATCTCAGGCTTTGTTGTATCATGTGAATCTAGAAATTAATTTGAATCAGTATGGTATTAATAAGATCACAGAATCACAAATCCTAGGGGTTGGAAGGGACCTCGAAAGATCATCTAGTCCAGCCCCCCTGCCAGAGCAGGGTCACCTAGAGTACATCACACAGGAACATGTCCAGGGGGGTTTTGAATGTCTCCAGTGAAGGAGACTCCACAGCCTCTCTGGGCAGCCTTGGCAGATGCAACATTAGTATAATGCATGCTCAAGCCATACTTTTCCATGATACATGAATATTCAAAAAGTTATCTATCATATTGTGTCGATTCTAAAAAGGGATTACTATAGATATATAATTATAAAACCAAATATGTCCCAGGTATTCATTATATTTATTTGATTAATGCAAATTCATTAGACTTTTTATCTACTGTAGAGTAGTAATGTCTCTTAAATGAATAGCCGTGGTATTTGTAACTTTGTTTGTGGCTATCTATTAGAATCAGATACTTTACTTTATCAGGCTGGTCTCTAAAGAGGAAGCTTTCAGAAAATGATAAAAATCTAATAATACTCTTTGGAGAAGATGCAATGTGACTGATTGGTAAGGTCAAGAAAAATCTTATTTGCAATGCCCTCATTGGTACATGATTTGACATGACATTTTTACCTTGAAATTGGTTTTAGCAATTGAAGAATATGACGGTTTAGTTTTCAAGAAATATTGGATTGAGGATCTATAAGAAAGAAACCCTAATTCAATCTATTGCCTTCTCAATTAAGATACTATTAGCCAGCACCTTCAACTTTTATTTAATTAGGCTTTAAAGTACATTCACTTTAAAAGCTAAGCCTACACTCTTCCTTTGAGTATGATCTACATCTGAAGACAAGAAGGAAGAAAAGATGTAAAAGTTATGGAGCATTTCACAAGCATAAGTAAATACTATACCCCAAAGGGAATAATAATCCATTGCAGAATGCATATGACTCATCACTTAAAGGTATGTATTCTTGTTTCATTTGTAAAATATGACCCTTGAGGCAATTAATTCAAACCTGACCTACAGAATCTGAACTTTGGTGTCCAATTCAATTTTTTTCATCTGATAGAAAACCAGGAAAAGTATGAGGGAGGATCTCTGGGCTCCAGAGGTCTTCCAGCAGCTGACCCAGATAAGAGAGGGGCAGCTGGATGTACATTGCAGGATCTGTGGCAGTCAAAAGGGAGAAAAGGGCCAATCTTTCCTTTCACGAAAAGTAAACTTTTGGAGTTCCATTGTGGAATGAAAGATGAATTAGATTAAAGACAGACTGGGAGACTCTCTAACCATCTTTGCCAATAGAAACAGATGAGAATTCAGGTGCGACTTGAGGAAAGCCCATTCAGAAGACTTTTCTGTGTACTTGAGAATCTGAGCAGTGATGCTCAAGCAGAGTATCTTGAAGATTTTTCAGAGAACTCACTGGCTTTTGCTGCCATTTCAGGTGGTGCAATGAATGGTGCTAGTGGATTGGTGGCATTTTTATTCTAGTTATCTTGGATGAAATCATGATGATACTTCCAGTCTATCAGATCAGTGGACCAGAAGGTAGATTAAAACCTCTCTCACTCCTGGGTCTGAGACCCAGCCCTTTGCACAACACAACCAGTATGGACTGGAGTCTAAAGTCCTCCCTGGACTTGGAATGGTCAATGTACCTGCTAGCACCACATCATTGCCACCCTGGTGATTTCACAGCATGGGCTTTTCCCTGACACCCCTGGCTGCACTTTTTCCTTAGCAGTATTTGCGCATGAGATGCCAAATTGGCACAGAAAGAAAGGCTAATGGTTTCCCTTTGTGAAGGAAAATCTTTGCTGGACTTCTGTGGCAGCTTTATGTCACAGAATCAATGCAGACAGAGGATCCAATCCCGAGTGTCTTTGGACAGATAGTCCAAATATCTTCAATAGTCACATGCACACCATCCAGAGTTTCCAAGGAAGTTCCTTTAACATTATTCAATAAATCTAATGTAGACACTTGCTGGTGAGCTCTAAGCATTTTAATGAGTATTAGGAAAATGGATTGTTTTATTATTATTATATGGCTTATAATTATAATGTCATATATAATAATATACATAACAGTGTATAATAATATGTAGTTATATATAATAATAATATATAATTATAACCTGTATTATAATATGGATTATGTATTATTTTAAAATGCCCTAATTCCTGTAATAGAGCAGGAAATGGCATTTAGCAGGGAGAAATTAAAAAATGCTAAAGATCATTCAAGAGATTACTTACTAAAGAGAAAATGAAAAGTCTGTGGAGATGATCTTGTGTAGCTACATGGTCAGCTATTGGAGGTCATGCATTAAAAGGAGCTTTTTCCTAATCTTGCAATATTGGATATCTTTGGACATTCATGTTCAGAAGAGATTAAGCAGTAATAACACATATCCAAATTAATTAATTAATGGAATATTATAATTGTGACAGCAAAGTATCCCTGAGAGACCACTTGTTCACTATTGAGGAATCAATGCAAAGTACAGGCTTTCAAAGAGAAAATA